TAAGTCAGAACTAATAAAACCCTGTTTCTCTGGACAGACCCAGATGACCTCAGCTGTTCTTGAACACCATCTCCTATTTGTCCCATTTTCCTTGTACCTGGAGCTGAATTTCTGAGTGAGTTGGAACTTAAAACTACAGTGAGTCTGTCCGGGTACTGGAGCTTCTTTCTGAAACACAATAGATGGAATTGTAGGGGATGACTCACACAGACTGAGTAGTCTCTACCTGACTGAACACGCTAATTGTGGCCTGTCATTGGGACTCCCAAAGAAAATAAAAAAGGTCAGCCGGGAACTGTAAGTGTAGTCAGTCAAGAAGGAATGCGCCGGAAGGTGTGATCTCTCAAACTTGTTCAGTCAAAACACGCTAAGGTGAGAGGCCAAGAATATTTGTAAATCAGGGAAATACTTTCCCAAAAGGAACTATACCACAAGGTGAAAGGAAGCACCTATTCTCACTTGTTTGCCAGCCTTCAAGGTGGCAACTAGCCTCATACTCCTAGGCCAGACCATTGTCTGATGGGAGCAACCAATTCAAAGAGGTTAACTGGAGGGTAAGGAACTTAAGAGTTAAGTGACCCACATTTTTGGGTGTGTGTGTGTGTGTTCCCCTAATTCTATAACCATCTGTTTCCTCTGCTGCAGTAGAGTAATTAGAACTCTGATTATAACATCAGATGAGTAAACGAGTTGTTTATGTTTTAAAGACCCAGTATCACCTGGCCTCAATAGTAGAATCTATTTAGTCACCCTTCGCAGTTTTCCCTTGCCATGGATGAAATGCTTCACATGGAGCCTTGGGGGAAAGAAAGAAGAGAACTATTAAATCGGAAATGTCCCATCCTTGGCAGTTTTAGATGGCTTCCAGCCCATCTGTTTGTAGCCCAGTATCTTTTCTAAAAATTGGAATCTAGATTCTGATTCTGATAGATTTCAAGAATGACATAATTTGAGAGTTGAAAGACATCCAGATATCTCACCAACTATCTTGATACTTATATAATTTTAAGGAAATTGATAGGCCCAGCAATTGCCTCTGCTTTATGAAGAAAGCTCATGGAGTGCTGACACTGAAAACAAACAAACAAAGAAACAGTACCTAATGATGCAACACTTTCGAGCTCTCACAACTGTCTTCAGAATGTAAGGAATATAGACCTTCAAGTGACATACAATTGGCCACTTGAAACAAGGGAAGATGCCTTTGCAAAAATGTGTTGGCAGTAACTGGAGAAATGTTTTTTTTGAATTGATATAATGACAGTTTTGTCAGGCTCACTAAAAGAAGAAATTAATAACGCTTGTAAGAAACAACCAGCTTTACATTCAGTCTAAAAGACAGGTATTGAAATTTATCAAGCAAGGGGACAGTGAGTTTATTTGCCTGACAGGATACTTTGCATTTTCACTCCTAGGAATGAGCCATTAAAGCCTGACGAATGACTCTTAAAGAAAAACAAATGTAAAAGAGGCTTAGCAAATACTCCAACCTGAGCTAGCCAATTTCTAAATCATGTTAGGGAAGTTTCCTGAAGAATCAAGCATTCCAGAAAATACCATCATAAGTCACACATTTCTCCCATTCTGGAGTATGTGCAAAAACAAGCATTTCTTCAACAGGAAAGTGGTGTTGGTGTGGGACATGTACTCACGGCATCCAGGAAATAGATCTAGCAGCCCAGAGGTGGAGAATCACCCAGCAGGAAGGTCAGCGCTCAGCTCCGCAGCATGGTGCCCCACCATCACGTGGCACCTCCCACAGTCCCCAGTCAGTGGCTGTGATCTGTCTTCTCCATTTTTGAAATGGAAGTCCAAGAGGCCCCAGTGAGAACTGACCACTTGTCGTGAGAAGCCAGTCTGAGAACTGTAAAGCTGCCCACAGTTTCAAGGCTTGTGCAAGTCTGTGATTCACTCCACTATGGGTCCATGAAGCACGCCTAAGAGAAATTACAGGTTTCTCCTGTCTGAAGCAAATCCATTAAAGTGAGTCACTTGTTTGTCTTTCAGTTCTTCATCCTTATCTCAGATGATCACATGAGACTCTGCTTCCATCTGCTGTACTGGGGTAATTGGAATGAGGGTGATACAATGTAAGATTATGCCACTACTGATGATGATTTTATAAGGTTTTTTTTTTTTGGGGGGGGGGGTTTGCATGTTCTGATGTTGAACTTGGAGAAAACTGGCTGACAAACTGATCCATAAATTGTGTCCTAATTCCTAACTTAGCACCAGAAATTTCTGTTTTATTTTTTTAATGACTGGGACACAGAATTCTTACTGAGCCACTACATGGCTGTTGGTAATTAAGACAGAGAAGGCACTGTGTCCACTTGTGGGGAACGCACACAATTTGACTTTGGATGGGGGAGCAGTTTGCATTATTCTGCTTACCACCAAACAGTCCTACAAATCCCAACTCTACTTTTGTCTACTCACAGGCTTTCCTTCCCCAAAGATCTAAAGCAAATCCCTGTTTAGCTATTTCTATGTTCTAAATGTGGGCAATAAGGAGAGGTAAGTAAGAGGCAGTTTTGTTATGGGTTTTACAGCAATGAAGGTCAAGGAAGTGCTGTTCATGGAAATGGGTCAGTTCCATTTAGGTTGGTAGTTAAGAACTGGGTCATTTGGGAAGTGGAAAAGCCAATATCAAGCCATTGTGTAATCAAAGGACTTTTTATTGCACATATTTACTGAACTTATTCTATGTACAAGGCACCATGCTCTGCACTATGGGCATACAAAAGTGAGTAACACAGTAACAAAAGTGAATAACGTCATCCCCCAAAACATATACATATGCACACAAAAAGACCAAAAGGAAATAAACAATATAACAGTAAATACAAAAATAAAGTGAAGGGCACAGATTATAAAATTACAGGAAATCAGGTGGAGAGAATCAGCACTTCTGGTTGGACCAATCAGGGAAGACTTCTCGAAGAAGGCAGAAAGTGACGGAGAGCTCAGAAACACATGCGCTGAGCTGAGCCCTGTGACATGTACTCCTCTTTCCTGGCCAGGAAACTGTGTATTGTGACCACAGTAACCTTGAATGAAAGGATTTTTCAATGATAAGTTCAACAGATTTTGCTGGCTGATACCCCTAATGCTGAACAGAACAAATCAATTGCTTAACTCTTTTATTCAGAAGTCAGTGAACTAGTTCCCATGAGGGTATCTACAGTCAAACTTATGCACAGGGTCATGGCTGTATGTTTGCTTGTGTTTGTGTGTGGGTGGGTGAGTTCATGTATTCATAGGACTCTAATTTAAAAAAAAACTCAACATTTGAATTTCAATGAGCAATTATTATTTGCCAAGTACTATTCTAGGTACTTTACCTACATTTATCCAATTAAAGTCTAACGAATTTAAATGGCTTTCCCAAGACTCATTACATATTAAGTCTGATACCTACAAATCTGTCTTGAACACTATCAGTACCAATTTCTCCTAGGGTCACCTGACCAAGTCACTTTTTTGGTGAGGTGTCAGCAGGAAACTGAATGTGTTTCCACAAAGGGTCACCCAGAGTCAACCTAATCCATGCAGTTCCTTGACATTTTTCAAGATGGTGTAGAGTGGGCTTTGGACTATAAGACAGGGGGCACAGCTTCTTCCAGGAATTCGCAAATAATTCCAGAGTTTTTCTCTCAGCATCCCTGAGTTTTCTTCATTAATGATAAGGCAAAGGTGGGGTATCTTTCCCACCATCCTATCACAGGGAGTGAGTACACCTGAGTAGTGAGTACTTCCATGCTAGATGTGATTGCTCAAGCACAAAGCAAATGTTAGGCCAATCCCTCCCTCTCTCCCTAGCACTCAGAGCTGTAATCTGTGAAATAAGGCAATTGGAGTTAGTCTTTAATATAATTTGTCCAGATTTATCATCCTATAACTATTTTTGCTTCATGAAATTCCCCTTTCACTTCAATGTATAGACTCTGAGTAAGTGACATTTCTTTGTACCTAAGTCTCTGCATTGAGAAAAAACAGAACTATGTCTCTCTCACCCCATCTCTTGAAGAAACCATACAAACATATTGGTAAATGGTAAAATAAAACCACTCTCTGACTTTATTTGTGAAAGATGCTTTTGTTGTTCCAAGATGAGCAATGCAATTTGAAAAATGACCTTTCTCCACGTTGATGCATTTTTTTAAACCTCAGACTGATGCCTTTTGTCTTCTCAAACTTATAGGAAGATAATTACTTATAGGAAGATAATTTGTAAAGAAAGAAAGAGAGAGAGAGAGAAGAAAGAAAGAAGACAGAAAGAAA